GGAATTGTGATCTCTTTGGTAAATGGTACTTAAAATTTGCAACAATTTTAGACTTATTTATAAGTTCGCTTAATTAATTTGTTATTTGAATATTGAAAGGGAATATCTTAGATTGAAATTTTAAAATAAACAATCAATCTAATAAAAGTTCTAAAAAAAAAATCAGAGCAAATCAAAGGGAATGAATTACAACAAACGAAATGATTTTAGAGGTGAGAAATTAATGAAAAATATTAATACTGAATTTTTGTTAGTTTCTCTGTTTAAATTCAAATTTGATATCAAAATTGAAATGTAATTTTGATGCATTTTAAAATCATTTCTAGCAACCCATTTGCATTATCAGAAAATTTAATTTAAATTATCGAATTTAAACAAACTGTGATAAAACTAGCATAGAACTAAAACTAATTGTAATTCTAATTTATAATACTGATGATGTCGCAAAAATACATTTATATAGCTAGTAGGGTCACCATTTATTTTGTCCTTTTTTAATGTATTCTAAACTTCGTTATAAAAATTCTCATTCATACTGTATGATCCTTTTAGATGTTTTTAGTAAAAAAAAAAAGTGCCAAAATTTACAGAACAGAAAATATCTTCTATGCAAATTTCATACTAAATACTATAAAATTTAATAAGTATATTATGGAATTTTTCACGGCAGATTTTTTTCTACAATTTCCCAAAGATTTTTATCTAAAATTTTCCACTGATTTTTTTTGGAATTTTCCATGGATATTTTCTGGAATTCTCCAGAGATATTTTTCTATTAGTGAAATGTATCCGTGAAAGGCTTAAATAAAAATAATATAAAGAAAGGATAGAAGCAATTGTTGAATGAATGGAAAAATTAAAAAAGTTATTGAAATTATTTGAATATTTTGAAAATAATTTCTACTCGGTCATTTCCTGTATCGATCAATCTAATGAACGATAATAAATGATCGATGATGCATATTTGATAATCAATTCTACCTATGCTTTCCCTCTTTTAATGTTTTATATTGTTGCACTATTTATCAGTTCATGTTATTATATTATCAGTATGACTTTTATGTTTGATAATAATTCTTTCTATTTCATCATTTTTCATCCATCCTCTTTAACATATTCAATTTTGATTAATTAACTTTTTTCTTCACTGACTAAATTTAAATTTCCATTCTTCAATAATTTTGAAATACTAAAACTAAATGTCATAACAAATATTTTAATGATAAAATACATTATATATTCATAATTAAATATTTATAATTAAAACAAAAAATGAATTTTTTGTGAATTGAAATTAAAAAGAGTCACATTTTCATTCTTCTCTTAACAACACTTTAATGATAATCGGATGCTTTTATCGTATTTGTGGAACATTGTACCGGTCTCTAGTAAGCTAATCAAAGTGTACAAATTCATAATCTAAATTATATATATGTATGTGTGTGTATGTGTGTGTGTGTGTGTCTGTGTCTGTGAGTATGTTTGTGTATTTGTGTAAAAAGCTAATTTCGAGCAGAAATTAATTTCGGAAAATGTGGTATTTTATGAAAAAAAAAGTGATGGAACAATGCTAATAACGAGGTTCTTTTTTTTTTCACTTTCATTTGATCGGAAAATTTCTTGATGTTATTATTCTTTTATTTTTATTTCTTTTTTTTTTTCAAAGAAAGGCGGCACTTAAAGGGAAAGGCTATTTGTATGTGTTACCGCAAAGGAAACTAATTTTATCGCACATTTTTAAAATCTATCATTATTTATAGCAGCTGGCTTCTATTTACAACAACAACAACAACAACAACAACAACAATTACTACTACAATTATCGTATGGTAGTGAAAAAGCGCAAATGTGACTTACCAAATCCGCCCCATTCTATATCTGTTAATGTGTTAACTGTATTCATTTAGTAAGAAATTTGTGTGATATTACTAACATCATATTTTAATAACGCTATACTTTTCCTACAATCTGATATTGTCTGAGAAATGGATGAGAATGGATGAGGAAGAGGAATTGAATGAAAGTTTATTGTTGGAGGAAATTCAACGATGTCCTGGAAAATATTTCACACAATATCTTTATGGTACTTCTTTTGTTTTAATTTCATGTCAAATATTTTTAAGAGCATTGGAAGGCGTTAATTACAAAAATTTTGAATATATTCGGAAAAAAATCAGCAAATATTTGAAATTTCAAAAATACTTTCATTTATTTCAAACCCTTAAATAAATAATTGTAATAATAGTTTAGACTACAAAATATTTCCTCTAAATTAACTTTTTAAAAATTAAAATTTGTGAATTCATCAAAATCTACTCAACAAATGCGCGATAAATCAAAATCGTCCAGTAGTATTCATGCTCTTTGTGGTTTAAATTTTTGAAATTATTAAGGAAAACTTCCTAATGCATTATTGAAATATTAAATAATAATTAAAATTAAAGTTTAATATAACAAGTTTTATCATCTTTTGTTATCACCAATGCAACCATTTAGCCTACTGAAGACTTACATCAATCTTTTTGTGATTCTTAAATCTAAATCCATTTATTTAAATTTATTTATTTAAATTCATTTATTTAAATATTTATTTCAATTTAAATTCAATTTCAGTGTAAGTTGTTTTGCTAAACTAATATAAAATGAATGATTATGAACTCTTAAAGCAATAATTATTTTATTAGGAAATTTAAAACATAGAAACTAATCAATAAATTTGCAGCAATGAATTTTATTAAGATTATATAAAAATACTCTGAAAAGAGTTAATATGAAGTGATATGATACTGTAGAATGATATGGAATGAGAAATTATAACATTATATAATAAAATTTTATCACTAAGCAAACGAACATTATCTATGCATAGTTATTTATTATGAGGAAATAAATTTATTTAAGTAAATCAAATAATTATCATGGCTTATAGCAAAATCAATTTTTAAAGAGTAATGATCAAATCCAATAAAATTTGATAATAATTGAAATTGAAATAAAAATGGTTAATTTAATTTTGGGTAATAATTAAATTGAAATTTCATCACTATTATTTTACCATAATTATATCCATCTTTTGCGCTTCCATCGATATGAAGCGCTTCTTGTTGAAAGTGAAATAAATTCCTTTTAAAATTTGAATTAAATTATTGAGTTGTCAAGAATTTCCATTTAATTTAATTCCTTTATTAAAACATCCAATCTTCCTCTCTTGAAAATTCCAAATACCTTTTACAGATTAGACTTAACTCTCAAAATTATAAACATTGTAGCATTCTTGTTTTCAATAATTGTAGAAAGAATAGTATAAAATTATCAAAATAGTCTTCGCTTTTTTTTCCATCTTAAAATAAAACAACTGTTCAGTATAAATAATCGATCAATCGATCAATCAATTAATTAGTTCAATAGAAGTGATCAAAATGCACAACCAACAATTGAACTATGATATTTCATTGCTTCCATTCATTTTTCTTATTCATCTGATCAAAAAACTGTCCAGTACAGGATGTTAATTAAATGAAGAAATTAATTAAATTTCCTAAACAAATATTTATCTTTGAAGTGATAAGAAGAAAATAAAGAAACTGTAAGTTTACAAAAAAAAAAAAAAGAAGAAAA